CACTTCTGTTGTTGGAATGGTTAGCATATTTAGCTTCATTTTTTTACATTTAAAGATTAACCAACTGCTTCAAAATGACACAGTCCACTCCACTGTCTATCTAAAATGTTATTGTACAGAGAAAGCAAACATTGTCCAAAAAATGAAAATGGATGTAAAATATATATAAAAAATTAAATTTAAATAAAATGTTATTGTAGGATAGTAAAAAGTATCAGATGCTGTAAGGAGATGTATTTAAATCATTTTGTTGGTCAAATATATATATATATTTCTAAGTCCAATGCTCTTCTTCAGAACTTCCTTTCTTAATGTATTTCACATATTTATTAAAAATCTCCTATATGGGGAAGTTTCCTTGGTAGCAAGGGGTTAAGTCTCAGTTCTATGAAACCATGGCATATATCATGCCACTACAACAGACTTCAATCCCAGACCAGGGAGATAATAATGCATGTGGTACAGAGCAGACCTCTCCTGACCGCCCCTCTTCCCCCCCTCCCACTCTGTCTCTGGTGAATCCTCTCACCTCCCTGCACCTCTGGCCTACAGCCCATATCTTATATGCATAAAAAGTAAATTTAAAATCTCATATTAATTTTCTCATATAAACTATATATGTGTATGCACAGATAATATATAATACACAATGTATAATGAATCAAATACATAATTATAAATCATATTTAATAATATAAGTTATACATCATGTTAGACATATATAATTAACACTATATATCAGGTCATATTAGTTATATATTGCTATACATATATGTGATTTACATAAAATGAATTCTTCCTATCTCTCTTTTACATGTGTGTCTTCACACATACAAAAAAGAGTCTCTTTTTACTCTGTGAAACTAAGAATTAGTAAAACATAATACTTGGAAGTCTAAGTTCTATTCCTGCCAAGCTGTTCCTGGCCCTGCTTAGGTTTAACTACATAATCTGGGATATTACACTTAATACACTGAAGCTCAAGTTTTTCCTCTTTTGAAAAATGGAGGATCTGAAGTATAGTCCATTTCAGTGTGAAAATTCTATTAAAAAACTTGAAAAATATGAGAAGCAAACTTAATTTGAGATTTTTTAATAACAGTATATGAAATGCATTAATGATGGAAATTCTGGAGAAGAACATTAGACTTGGAAAAAACTAAAAAGTACTTCATGTCTTATTTTAAATAACTCTGTGCTTACCTTTGTGACAGTGATGAAATCCGGTCCAAAGAAGACACTTTTTACTCCTTCAATCCTAAATAACTGCCTGTGAATAAATAAAAATGTGATACGATGTTTTGTTATGAAAAAGTCTGACATCCACAAAAGTAAAGAGAAAAGCAAAAAAAACTGCCACACATCCATTATCAACTTCATCAACTTATGAAAAACCTCATTTCATCCTCTTACTGTACAATTGAGCAATCTCACTGCTAGGTAATACCACAGAGAAATATAAACATGCTGTGCACAGATTTGCACAAGAATCTTTACAGCAGTTTTATTTATTAAAAAATGCCCATCAGCTGGTGAAGGACTATACAGACTGTGTTGCTCATACAATGTATAGATAGTACTACTCAGCAATAATGAAGAATAAACTATTGATATTCTCAAAAACAAGGATAACTTAAAAAAGCATTATGCAAAATAAAAGCAGCACAGAACAGAGATTATACAGTTCCATTCAAATGAAACTTTCTATAGTGGCACAGATATGTTAACTAACCTTATTTTTCTAATCCTTTTGCACTACATAAGTATATTAAATCATGGTGATATATACACTGTAATCTTACATGGTATTTTATGTCAATTACATCTCAACAAAACTGTAAACATTTATTTCAAAAACTTAATGATTATAAAGCAAAGGAAACCAAAACCTGGTCTAGTTTTTTCTCCCCCTCCCCATTTCTTTGTCCCTTTTAAATGTAAACTAGAGCCAGTCTGCACACTAACCTAGCATCTCTTTCACCATGGCCCTCAGTGATAATGGCATGCCAGAGTACATTAAACACATGATGGTTATATTGAACAACAAGCCAATGAGAAAACAGAAGATACAGATATGAAAGTAGTAATTCCACAGTGAGAAAGGTCATTTGGAACAACCTAAAGACATTAGAGTGAAATATGAGAAGAAAAAAAGCAGATGGAACTACTGAGCTGTAAATCAAGGAGGCTCAAAGTCCTCAGTGCAAGAGATAGCCTCACTACGTATCTGCTAAAGGCAGTAAAGAGACCCACATGGTGATAAAAAATACAACCAAGAACAAACTGCTGCTGGATGGACTGGTCCTCCAGGTTGGAGCCCCAAATGATTACTGTAGGACAGGGCTTCCCTCTGGAAAGGCTGCAGTGCAAAAAATAAGTCCTGTGTACAGTTATCACCACCATGATGTTCATGTCCATATTAATCGGGAGGTCTACTTGCCTGAAATGGAGTTGAATCTAAAATTAACACAACTTTCACTTGCTTTTGTAGCATGAGGGGATCAAATGGTAGTTGCATGAATAGTACCAAATCTTCTCTGGTTCCAATTGTCAACTCTAGAGGATGATGATGTGTACAGTGTTCTCTGCCTTAAGTCTCTACTCTTTAGTCTTAAAATATATATGGGGAATGCATTCCATCCAGCAGTTGTTGCTTCACTATTACCTGTTTGGTCTGTAAGTTTTCCTTATCTGGAAGAGTGATTTAAAATCTAAGCCACAGGGCCCTGCTGGTGGCGCAACGGATTGGGACGCAGCACTGCAAGCTAGCCACAGCCACTTCAGTGCAAGATCCCTGGCCCCGGAGGTGACCCACATGGCACAACAGACCTCTCCTGTCTCCCTGCTGCTCCCCTTAGCAGTGTACTTCAT